AAATAAATAAATAAATAAATAAATAAATAAATAAATAAATAAATAAATAAATAAATAAATAAATAAATAAATAAATAAATAAATGCATGTGCCCCTGGCAATTAATTTTTTAAAAAAATTTTAAATAAGGAAATACTATCTTGGAGCCAGCAGGTGGTGATTAAGGTGCTGAATTCCCACATGGCCAACTGTGGTTTTTGAGGCCTGGACCAGCAGCTTGAAAAATCACAGCAAATAACTAACTAAATAAATGTTAAAAAAATTAGAAAAAATAAGCGAACGCTGTCGTCAGAGTGAGCTAAATCCACACTGTAGGGAGAGTTCCTTGCTGCTGCTTGGCCCCATGTCCCAGTAGCCTGGCCTGCGTCTCTCTTCCCTCCTCTGCCCATGCCCCAGTAGCCTGGCCTGCGTCGCTCTTCCCTCCTCTGCCCATGCCCCAGTAGCCTGGCCTGCGTCGCTCTTCCCTCCTCTGCCCATGCCCCAGTAGCCTGGCCTGCGTCGCTCTTCCCTCCTCTGCCCATGCCCCAGTAGCCTGGCCTGCGTCGCTCTTCCCTCCTCTGCCCATGCCCCAGTAGCCTGGCCTGCGTCGCTCTTCCCTCCTCTGCCCATGCCCCAGTAGCCTGGCCTGCGTCGCTCTTCCCTCCTCTGCCCATGCCCCAGTAGCCTGGCCTGCGTCGCTCTTCCCTCCTCTGCCCATGCCCCAGTAGCCTGGCCTGCGTCGCTCTTCCCTCCTCTGCCCATGCCCCAGTAGCCTGGCCTGCGTCGCTCTTCCCTCCTCTGCCCATGCCCCAGTAGCCTGGCCTGCGTCGCTCTTCCCTCCTCTGCCCATGCCCCAGTAGCCTGGCCTGCGTCGCTCTTCCCTCCTCTGCCCATGCCCCAGTAGCCTGGCCTGCGTCGCTCTTCCCTCCTCTGCCCATGCCCCAGTAGCCTGGCCTGCGTCGCTCTTCCCTCCTCTGCCCATGCCCCAGTAGCCTGGCCTGCGTCTCTCTTCCCTCCTCTGCTCACAGCTCCTCTGTGGCTCGCGAAGCCATTCCTTTGCTGGGTGACAAGGCAAGGCCTGGGGCCCGAGGGCCAGCCACCCATCTCTCTCCTGGGTGGAGCTTAACAGGATTGAGGTGAGGCCCACACCCACGTGTCATGCCTCACTTTCACTCACTCTGCCCTGGGTTCGAGAAACTGGCAGTGTCCACAGGCTACACTTGCTTCTGCCCTCTCCAGGAATTTCCTCCAGGCAGGGGACCACCCTGCCCCAGGGGGACACCAAAGATTTCCCTCTGGGTCTGAGGCTGGCCCATCTTTCAGTTCAGAGGGGAAGGAGCAGGGGCCCGTGCTGGCATGGGTATTACTCCACATCTGCCATAAGAAAACTCGAAGCTTGGTCTCTAACACCTCTGTCTGTTTCTCTTCTTTTCCTTTTAAAAAATGCTTACTTATTTCTTCTGTGAGGAAGAGAGACAGACAGGCACCTGCAACAGCGTCTTCACGCCACAACACACCCCCAGTCTCAGCCAGCTTGATCCTGGGCATGTGTGTGTGTCCGGCATGCTCAGAGGGATCCCAGGAAGTCAACCCGGGACCTTTCTCATGTCGGTCCCGTTGCATTACTGCTATGCCATTGTCTGGCCCTTCTATCCCTCCCCTTTTAAATAATTATTTAATTTTATTTATTTATTTATTATTTTTATTATTTTAACCACAATGAGGGGGAGAAAATAAGAAAGCAAGCCGCTAGGTCCAGGACTCAAACCATGGTCAGTCATGTGGGAGTCCATCATCTTAACCACCATGCCACTTGCTGGCCTTGGCCCCTCTACTTCTTAAGTGTCCAGAGAGCAAAGAGTATGATGTCCTCTGCATGGCCCAGAGCTCTAAAGCAGGTGCCACCACCCAGATGAAAAGCTGTTGAAAGCTGCTGACTCCCCAGTGCCTCCTCCCCACGGCAGTCTTCTCTTAGTATTCGGTAAGATGATAATTAAGTCCACAGGCTCCTATGTAATGGCATCTTAAGGTTTCAAAAGGCCTTTTCCTTTTAAAAATGCTTACTTATTTCTTCTGTGAGGAAGAGAGACAGACAGGCACCTGCAACAGCGTCTTCACGCCACAACACACCCCCAGTCTCAGCCAGCTTGATCCTGGGCATGTGTGTGTGTCCGGCATGCTCAGAGGGATCCCAGGAAGTCAACCCGGGACCTTTCTCATGTCGGTCCCGTTGCATTACTGCTATGCCATTGTCTGGCCCTTCTATCCCTCCCCTTTTAAATAATTATTTAATTTTATTTATTTATTTATTATTTTTATTATTTTAACCACAATGAGGGGGAGAAAATAAGAAAGCAAGCCGCTAGGTCCAGGATTCAAACCATGGTCAGTCATGTGGGAGTCCATCATCTTAACCACCATGCCACTTGCTGGCCTTGGCCCCTCTACTTCTTAAGTGTCCAGAGAGCAAAGAGTATGATGTCCTCTGCATGGCCCAGAGCTCTAAAGCAGGTGCCACCACCCAGATGAAAAGCTGTTGAAAGCTGCTGACTCCCCAGTGCCTCCTCCCCACGGCAGTCTTCTCTTAGTATTCGGTAAGATGATAATTAAGTCCACAGGCTCCTATGTAATGGCATCTTAAGGTTTCAAAAGGCAGCTACAGAGATCAGTATGTGGCACAATGGCTACATTACTAAACTCCCACATAGTTGGCCCCAGTTCAAGTCTCAGACCCAGCAGCTAAATCTCACACTGGGCACAAGTGCATGTGTGCCTAAAATCCTGAGAGGAGAATGGAGGAGAAGGGATTGTGGCATGGCCATCCCTCGGGGAGTAGTTTCTTGATTTCTAACTCCCTTTCTCTGCCTCTCCAGCAAGCACATGTGCCCTATAGCAAAAATCTCTTTTAAAAAAAATAAAATAAACAAGGCAGCTACGTTGTAGGAGGCGAATCTTACAGCATCTTTGATCTCACCTGGAGACTTTATCTGAGCAGTCACAGGTGAGACGACAGGAAGTGGAGAATCTGGTTACCCAAGTACCCCGCATCTTTGCCGTCCCCTACCCACGTAGAGCTCCACTTCCCCTGACTTCAAGATGCCCTGGCACAGCGGCAGCCCCGCTGGGTAGTGAGATGCTCTTGTTGGCTACATGTGGGGCCAAGATTCAGTCTTGTGAGACTAAGTCCCTCTACCACTTCCTGCCCTCTGCTGGCCTATCCATGGATCCTACTAAGAAAATGCGTAAAGGCTTTGGTAATTCTTTATTTTTTTTTAATTTAAGAAAGGTTTTTGCTATAGGGTATATGGACTTGCTGGAGAGACAGAGAGAAGGTGAGAAATCATCTCCCTGGGGGATGGCCACACTGCAATCCCTTCTCATCCCTTCTCCTCCTAGGACTTTGGATATGCATGTACAAGTGCCCCGTGTGAGTTTCAAGCCACTGGGTCTGGGACTTGAACTGAGGTGGGCCATGTGGGAGTCCAGCACCTTAACAACTATGTCACCTGCTGGGCCCAGCTTTGGAAATTCTTAAAAAAGATTTAAAATATTTTTTCCTTATTCCTTGTTCCTAGAGTAATTTTTTTTTTTTTTAAGGTTTTTGCCATAAGGCATGCGTGCTTTCTAGAGAGACAGAAAAAGAGAGAGGGAAAGTGAAAAATCACCCCTGTGGGGAGACAGCCACACTGCAGTCCCTTCTCCTTCATTCTCCTCTCAGGATTCTGGGCTTGCGTATACATGTACCTGGTGTGATTTTCAAGCCTCTGAGTTCAGGACTTGAACCACGGTCCACCATGTGGGAGTCCAGCACCCTAAGCACCGCACCACCTCCTGGTCCCTGAATGTAGTTTATTTTTTAAGAACAGTGTATGTGGCATAGCGGGGAGGGGGCTGTCCTCCGCAGTGTTGAAGCCAGATGGGAGAGTCCCAGGTTTGTGCCCTGAGGTCTCCTGCACGCGTCAGGTGCCTGAGTGTGAGCTCGTGATCCTGGCCACGGGGGCTGGAGACCCAGCTGGAGTCTACTCTCGCTCACACTCCCTCTCTCGCTCACACTCCCTCTCTCGTGGAGGAAACAGGTGGATACATTTCAAAATAATAACAAAGAACAGTAATGCATAAGCAGATTTGGCAAGGACTACTTTTTTCCTTATGCATGTTACAGATCATTTGTTTCTATTAATACTTTTTAATCATAAGACAGGCTTCAGAGTAAGAAAAGAAATGCATTTTTGGGGCCAGTGGCTGGTGTAGTGGTTAAGGTGCTGGATCCCACATGGCTGACTGGTTCGAGTTCTGGACCTGGAGACTTGAAACTCACACTGGGCACGTGTTTGTGCTGAAAATCCCAGGGAGAGAATGGAGAAGGGACTGTGGTGTGGCCATCTCCCCTGGGGAAGGGGGGAGAGGGTGATTTCTCACTTTCTATCTCTCTGTCTCTCTGGTGACCACATGCACCCCATAGCAAAAATCTCTCTCTTAAAAAAAAAAAGCATTTTGACTTAAGTTCTGGACTAAATAAAATATTTTCTAAGGTCTATTTTCTGAAACATTTTCTGGAAATTCACTAACAACAGATGGGATATTTGAAATGCAGGCGCAAATTAGAGCATTAATTCCTGACCGTGAGTTTTGCCATCTTTCTGCACTAATAAATTCCAGAAATCAAACAAGAGAATTTTGATCCCCTTAGTATAAGCGATATACACCATAAGGCACCTTAAAAGGTAGTGAGTGGTATTATTAATATAAAATCAAGCCGTAATCATGTAGTAATTCCAAAAAGATTGGAAATTATTGGATTAGTTCTGACATGAGAAACAGTAAAATAGCAACAATGGAATATTCCACCATCTCTTCGTATGTGCCAAGAGAATGAAAGGCAATATTTCTGCCTTTATTACTGGGACAAGAAAACCGATTTGTCCCCATTTGTTTTAATCACGATTAATCATTCCTTTCCAAAACAATTCTGAAAAATAATTAATGGTAGATCCAAGGATAACGACCGAAGTCAACAGTGAGTTAACAGTGAGAGACATTCCTGGCTTCTCGGCTTTGCAAGTTCTAACTTGTGAAGAGTCAAAGCGTGGCCTTAGAACAGGTCACTCTCCGGCACAGGGAACCGTCGTATAAGGCTTACTGGGTAATATATCCAGCACACTCCATGCCGGAGGTTGTCTTTATATTGCCCCTTGAAGATCAGTCTCCCATCCGTGTCGTACTCCTGGGCCGGACCGTTCAGCTCTCCGTCCACATACGTGCCCTGGAGGACTCCCCCGTCCTCGTAGGTGTAAACTCCCTGGCCCTGCAGTGCGTCGTCCACATAGTACCCCTCCAGGGTGCTGCGAGAAGAGAGAACAGAAAGGCGCCATCAGAACACGACTCAATGCTCTTCAAAGAGAGGATGGACAAGGGAGACGAACAAAACACAATTGTGATCCAGTTCTGTGGACAGCATGCTGGCTGGTGGAGCTGGAAGCCACGTGCCGACCATGTTCCGAGTCCCCAGCTGATTGGCCTGAAAACACTTGGTGCACACGTGTGCCCAAGATCCTGGCAGGCTGGAGGATGGGAAAAAAGGGATTGCAATGTGACTGAGTCCCGTGAAGGGTGCTTCTCTCACTATCTCATGCAAGCGGACGTGCTCTATCATGATTTAAGAACAAAAGAAGAGGGAACCAACAGATGGCGTAATGCTTATGTTACTGGACTCTCATGTAGTTCCATTCAGTCGTGGTTCAAATCCGGGACCCAGCAACTTAAAACTCACTCTGAACATGTGTATGTACATGTCCAAAATCCCAAGAGGAGACTGGAGGAGAAGGGACTGCAGCATGGCCGACCCCCTGCGTGGGGAGGAGGTGATTTCCCGCTTTCTGTCTCTGTCTCTTTCTGTCTCTCTAGTGAGTGCACATGCCTATAGCAAAAAATCTCTTTCTAAAAAAGAATAAAAATGTCACAATCGTACAGGAGAGACTGTTACTGGCACAACATGCACCGAGGCAGGTGGGATGCAGAAGGGGCTGTGGGAACTGAGGTGGCTGCACCTGACTGCCTGGTAAAGTCGTGTTTTACTTTAACGCGTGAGAATAGTCTATAATTATGAAATGAAAAGCCAGGCTAAATAACCATAGCCTCTGCTCACATCGTAATTACACTATTTGTAGTCTCCCAAGGAGATAAATAGTTCTCATTCAGTTCTGTTTGTACTATCAGTGACAAATAGGCTTACTAAATGCGTGAAGAGACTAAAGTACACTTTAGTACAACCCTTGCATAAATAATCAAAATTCTAAATCAGCGAGGTTGGAATTAATGAGATTCAACTGTCATTAGACTCCTACAATTAAAAAATAAAAAGCCACGGTGAAGGATAACTAATCAACCGACATAATGATGCGATATAGTGTGCAAAAAAGTATTTAGTCATTTATCTTCATTTTCAAGATCCAAGCTAAAATACAGGGTTTCTAGTGAAGTTTGAATTTCTGATCAACAGTAAATAGTGTTTTAGTCTAAGTCCCTAATAGAGAATGGGACATACTTATCCTGTTTATCTGAACTTCCAGGGCCAGCCCTCTATGCCCTAGGGGTAAATGCAGCTGATTACAGTTCGAATCTCAGCCCCAGCAGCTTGAAAAACATACCGAGTATGTGTGCCCCAGGTCAAAATGGAAGAGAGAGGATTGCAGTGTGGCCACGCCCTGTTGGGAATTGCTTCCTCGCTTTTCCTCTCTGTCTCTTTCTGGCAAGTGTACACATAGTCCTCTGGTAATTAAAAAACAAATCCAATTACCTGGCTGTTTATTTCCTGACCTTGGCAACCCTACTGACTTTGGGTTATCAGCAGTATTCAAACATTCCTGCATGTATTTGGGTGAAGTTATTCTCTGTCAGACTAATCTGCTAAGATTTCTCAGGTTCTTTAGGCCAGTTAAAAAGAATACAGTCTTTGGGGCCAGCAGGTGGCATAGTGGCTAAAGATGCTGGATTCTCACAGGGCCGATTGCGGTTGAGTCCTGAACCTGGTGTCTTGCTTTCCCTTTCTTTCTCTCTATGGTCAAATTTTAAAAAACAGAACAAAACAAAATAAAAACCGAGAAGAACAAATGGAATTAAATAAATAATTTTAAAAAAAAAACAGAACAAAACAAAATTAAAACCAAGAAGAACAAATGGAATTAAATAAATAATTTTTAAAAATTTTTCAAAATTAAAAAACATAATATGGTCTTGTACCTTTTCCTCCTAACCCTATTTAGTGACTTGTCCTTTCAAAATTAGAAAACATAATATGGTCTCGTACGTTTTCCTCCTAACCCTATTTAGTGACTTGTCCCACCCTTCCTAAGCAGTGGGACCCATCCCCATATCTCTCTACTGTAATACTAAATCAAACTACTTCTCTCTCAGCCCAACTGACTTACAGAACACAGATGCAAATTCTTAGGGCATTGAAGAGCAAATCATTTTTTTTTTTTTAAGAGAGATTTTTGCTATAGGGCATGTGTGCTCACTGGATTGAGAGAAAGAGATAGAGAAACAGAAAGAGAAATCACTGCCCATGGGGATAGCTGTGGCGCAATCCCCTTCTCTCTGGATTTTGGGCATGCACACACATGTGCCTAGTGTGAGTTTCAAGCCTCTTGATCTGGGATTCGAACCATGGTTGGCCATGTGAGAGTCCAGCTTCATAACCATTATGCCATCTGCTGGTCCCAAAGACTAAATTTTTTTTTTTGGAGAGGTTTTTGCTATAGGGCGCATGCACTCACCAAACAGATAGAGAGAGACAGAGAGACAGAAAGCGAGAAATCACCCCCCAGGGGGGATGGCCACGTTGCAATCCCTTCTCCTCCATTCTCCTCTCGGGATCTTGGGTATGCATGTACACGCACCCGGCGTGACTTTAAGCCACTGGGTCCGGGACTCGAACTGCGGTCGACTATGTGGGAGTCCACCGACATAGCCACCACACTAACTGTTGGTCCCCCAAAGACTAAATCTTAATGCAGTATTTTTCCAGTATTTGCCCAAGGGTAGCTCAACTTTCTTGGTAAATTTTCTTTCTTTTTAAAAAAAGATTATTTAATTTTATTTATTATTACTTTAAAATTTGCTATAGAGCATGTGTACTCACAAGAGCAAGAAAGTAAGAAAGTAAGCCACCAAGTCTGGGACTTGAACTGGGGTTAGCCATGTGGTAGTTCAGTATCTTAACCATCCTACCACCTACTGGCATCTCTCTCTTTATTTTCAATAATTCTTTATTTAATTTTACTTATTCATTCATTTTATTTTAATTTGACCAGAGAGACACACACTGAGAAAAAGAGAGAGAGAGGGAAAGTGTGAAAGCAAGCTACCAGGTCTGGGACCCAAACTGTGGTTGGCCATGTGGGAGTGTCCAGCGCCTTAACCACCATGCCACCTGCTAGTCCTGGCCTCTTTTTTCTAATGAGAGAGAGAGAGAAAGAGTGAAACACATATGGGGGAGGAAGGGAGAGATTTTTTTTTTTTTTGGACAGAGTCTTGCCATGTGGAGACCCTGTCTGTCTCAGCCTCCCAGCGAGCTAAGACCACAGATGCATGCCACTGCTCTGGTCTTACACAGGTTGGGCCAGGAACCAAACTTGGGCCTCTCATGTGGCCCCAGTCGTCACAACGGGGCACCCTCCTGCTTGCGCCACTGCAGCTGAGCCCTTGGTAGCTTTCTATGTTAACTTAGAAGGAATCTACTTGCAAGAGGAGCATATTAGGTCTGGCCTCATGGCCTGATGGTCAAGAGAGCTGGGTTCCACATGGCCAAATACAGTTCAGATCCTGGCCCAATGGCTTGAAAACCACACCACATGCCTGTGGGGGTGTTGTGCACCAAATCCTGACAAGGTGGGGAATAGAGGTGAGTGGCTCTGGCATGACCATGCCCCTCTTTCTGTCTCTCTGGCAAGTGCAGGTGCCCACTGGCAATTAAAAAAGCAATAAAAGAGCATGTCATACACATGAACTGGGTTTCCCCAGACAATAAAAATGATGTCTTTGATGGGGCCAGCAGGTAACATGGTAGTTAAGGCTCTGGATTCCCACATGGCTGACCACAGTTCAAGTCCCAGACCCGGCGGCTTGAAGATTACACTGAACACATGTAAGTGTTGTGGCTAGAATTTCAAGAGGAGAATGGAGGAGAGGAGATTGCAGTGTGGCCATCCACCCCCCCCCCGGGGGGGGGGGTTTCTCACTTTCCTTCTCTCTGTCTCTCTTCCTCTTCAGTAAGCATACACACACCCTGTGGTAAAAACCTTAAAAAAAAAAAAAAAAAAAGCTTTTGAAATCCTTTGTCATTGAGAAAATAAAATGTAAATTTCTTAGACTGGCAATCAAGACACCACCTGTCCTAGGGCCAGCAGGTGGCATGGTGGTTAAGAGCACTGGACTCCTACATGGCTGACCATGGTTCGTGTCCTGGACCTGGCAGCTTGCCTTCTCACTCTCCCCCCTTCTTGTTCATTCACTCTGTCCCTCTCTGGTCAAATTAAAATAAATAAATAAAGTTCATTAAATAATTCTTAAAAAAAAAAAAAAAGACATTACCTTTCGTTTTAACTTTTTTTAAAAAAATAATTATTTATTTAATTTTATTTATTCGTTCATTTTATCTTAATTTGACCAGCATGAGAGAGAGAGAGAGAGAAAGCAAGCCTCCAGGTCTCCAACCATGGTCAGCCATGTGGGAGTGTCCAGCACCTTAACCACCACGCAACCTGCTGCTGGTCCCCCCTTTTAACTTTTCCGGAGGAGGCTGTCAAACCATGGACTGCTTCCTGTTTTTATAAATGAAGTTTTATTGAAACACAGCTGTGTCCATTCCTTTCGGTATCACCCATGGCTTCTCATAGTCCAGCAGAGACCCTCCGTGGCCCATAGAGCCCCAGTTTGACTGTCTCACCCTACACAAGCCAAGTTTGCTGATTCCTGTTCAAGGGCCCTCTGCCCACAGGAGCTTACTCTCCGGCTTTTCTGTATCTGAGCTTCCACACTGTTTTCTCTTAAAGTGCATGTGAATAAGCCTTCTAAATCTCCGAGGATACAGTCAAGATAAAAAGCTTGGGGTCACATTTTCTGCCCAACCCCTTTTTTTTTCCATTAAAAAAAAAAATAACATTCGAGGGACCAGCAGTTAGCGTAATGGCTATGTTGCTGGATTCCCATGTAGTTGACCATGGTTCGAGTCCTGGACCTGGTGGCTTAAACTCAAGTCAGGCGCATGTGAGTGCGTGCCCAAGATCCTGAGAGGAGAATGGAGGAGAAAGGATTGCAGTGTGGTCATCCCCCCTGGGGGGTG